ACGCTGCATTTTGCACCAGAACTACATACCCAGGGATGAGCATTGCTTTAGCTCACTACTTTTAGTCAGAAAGCTCAACTCCATTACAAGCCAGAAAACCCAAGAGAGCCTACTGCTGGGCCCTATCAAGAGGGAAAGGGGGGCGGGGAAAGAGGAACTAACTACAGGTACAGTTTAGCACACAGAAGGCTTCCACAGTACTTACAGATTCACCAGGATCTTCTGCTTCAGATAACCTGATCATTGCCTCCTTAGGCATGACTAGGAAAAGCGTCGGAGCTTGGGGTGAAAGCTCATGGAACACAAGGCGCTGGAGGAAGAGTAAGCAGTTAAAACGTAGTTGGCTCCAGAAAAAGGTAATAGCTGAAGCAAATCAAGACGCCCCCAAGAACTCGCACTGAAGCAGATTACCACATACCCCAAACACAAGCCGAAACGCTGAGTTCTCTTACGCGATATTAACGCTTTCTATACGCAAAACCCACCGTAGTTACAGAGCCCCCCTCCAGAACTGGGATTCGGCATCCAAGACGACGGGGGCAAGGAGACGGGACAGCACTTCAGATTAGCAACCTCCAGCAGGTTTGAATTCGGGATGGCCATTTCCTAAGCAGTTTGTCAATTTGAGAAGTGGTCCACACAGAGGCAGGAGACAAACGGCTTAACTGAATCAGCAAAGAATTTAGTGAAGCGCAAGATGAGCGGCCATACACTCTCCATGGTACAGGGAGCTCAACTACTAAACCAAAGCATAACCACAGGAAGCCTGCAAGTGCGTAGTACGAGCCTGTCCTCTGTACTGCGCATAAACCCTACCTTCAAAAGCAGAAGACATCCCGAACTGCTCATCATCAGCACCCCAATGACAAAATTCAACGGGATACTAACTGAAAGTTAACATCGTGTACGTGAGGGCTGCTTCTCCCCAACACCCCCCCCCCCCCCCCCCCCAAACAACCTAAGCAGCTCACTCCGGCTCCTAGCAGGCTGTAGTGCGCCAGCATCCGTGAGCCTTGCAAGCCTGTTCTTATCACGGTCCCCCTTCACCACCAAAACAAGGTCTGAGAAGCTTTTGCAGCCTGGCCGGTTTCTAGATTTTTTTCTTCTTTTTGCAATAGAAAACTAAGAAACGCTGTCATTCTTTGCCTTAAATAATCCAGTTTGGCTGTTCAGAAAGAAAGCCCAGCACGGCAGAGCCGTGAAATCTCTACAATGGTATTACGAGGCACATCAAGACTTCCGTGTCTCCAACGCAGAACTAACGCATTACGGTCACTGCTCAGACGTTTGCTGTTTACACACATACGTACACACATCACACACACCCCGGAAGCCCCGAGGAGGTTGGCTGCGCGCGCTTAATCTAAGGTTTCAAGGCTAACATCCTACACGAGGCAGGACCGCTCCCATCCCTCGGCAGCCAACTTTGCGCGACTTGCACCGCCAAAGGGATATCACGCGGCAAACGTCTGCGGCCTACGCCAAGCGCGTTCCCGTCAGAGGCCCTCCTCTACGCGCGCGCGCACACGGCACGGTGGGGCTGGGAACCGAGGCGAGCCGGACAGCACCAGCAACCCAGTACGCGCCGCGACAGCCGGGGACGGGGGCGGCGCACCGAAAAAGCGCGACGGTTTAGGGACGGTGCAGTAGAGAGCGCAACATCCCAGAGAGGCCCCGTCCGTCCCTCCAGCCACCCGCAGCAACGCCGCCACCCGCCCTGCCCCGCTCCAGGGCACCCACCGCGCAACGGGTCCTCGGCTCAGGGAGCCTGCGAGCGCGGGGGCAGCGGGAGTGGGAGCGGAGAAGGAAGAGGAACCGCGCACAGAGCAAAGCCGGGGCTACCCCCACCTCCTCATTCCCCTCGTCCTCGTAGATGACGCTGGCGGGGAAGCGTCTTGCCGATGAACTTTCCGAAGACAGTAGCGGCGCCACCGGGCCACGCGGCCCGCGCCCCGACAATCTCGATTGCCACCACAAAGCCCTTTGTCGCCCCCGCGCTTCCTCCGCTCGGCCAGGCCCTCCGCAGAGCCCATTGGACCGCCAAATCGCCGCCGGCCGATCCCGCGCTTCGATTGGCTGCCTCGCCTGCCGTTTTCGCTTGTCCCCGCCCCCTTGGCGGATCAGCCCTCGTCGACATGCTGCTTACAGGGGCTCAGGGAGTTTGCGCGCCCTTGGGGCGCCGAAGGAGAACACACCGGGCGAGGCCGCGCAGGGGTCTGCGCCGTGTAGTGCTGCGACCCTGTGGGCGGGAAACGAGGCCTCCGAAGAGGCTCCTGTAGCTAGAACTACTGGCTCCTCGTATTTATTACCGCATCGACTCCACCCCAAACGTGCCCGTGGCTTTTTGGTGCTGCTCCTTCCAGTCAAATGACTGCTTCTGCCGGGGCGGGCCTTAACTTTTAGGAACATTTCGCAGAACCAACAGAACTTGCTCTGAATTGCTCCCTGAAAGCCCCGCTTCAATTGCAGGCGCTTCTAAGATGCACGCCTCCCGGGAGAAAAGAAAGCACAAATAAAATACAAAGCGCGTGTTCAGCACTGGTGGCTCGAGGGCCGATCGAGAGAGGCTTTGTGCTGACCTGGGTAGGAGGCTTTTACAAAAAGAGGCAGCGCCCCCAAAGCTGCCCGAGGGTGCCTGCATCCCTGGGGAATAGCGAGCAATTTGATTGGGTACTGCAGCTTCTATAACCCCTGCTTTCCTCTCTATCGGGCTAAGGATATCCTTAGCCGCCTTTGCGGCAAGGCCACGTTGTCGGCTCACGTTCAACTTGGTGTCCACCAGGACCGCCCCCCCCCCTTTCCTGCAAAGCTGCTTTCCAGCCAGTCGGCTTCCAGCATATACCGGTGCGTGGGGCTGTTCCACCCCAGGTGCCGGACTCGTGCATGTTCAGGCTCCTCAGGCGGTCTCGAACCGGGTCGTTTCCCACGATGGGAGGGACTTTGTTCCCCCAGTCCCTGCCTTGAGGTTCAGGGACTTGAGGCACTTGGGAACAGTGATTGCCAGTGAAAACGGAGGGAAAAAAAATCGTTGAGTACCCCGCTCAGCCTTCTCCTCGGTGCTTGTCACTAGATCATCTCCTGTCTTACCTACTGGAGGAGGGTGGGTCCTTGCTTCCACCCTCTGCAGGCTTCCTTTTTGCGCTTGAGTTTGCCCAGGAGCTCCTCGCTCATCCACATGGGCCTCCCGGCATTTTGGCCAGACTTCCTGCTCCTTGGGATGGACCAACTCCTGAGCTTGGAGGAGGTGACCCTCCAATACGAACCAGCTTTCTTGGGCCCCTCTTCCCCCCAGGGCCTTATCCCATGGGACGCTTCCAAGCAGATGCCTGAAGAGGCCAGAGTCAGCTCTCCTCCAGTGCAGGGGTGCGAGCTTGCCTTTTCACCCTCCTCTCGAGAGCCTGAACTCCACCATCTCACGATCACTGCAGCCAAGGTTGCCTTTGCACCCCCAACAAGCCCCTCCTTGTTGGCCTGTAGGAGGTCCAGCAGAGCACCTCTCCTCGTTGGCCCCTCTATCGCTTGGGTGAGGAAGTTGTCGTCGACACGCTCCAGGAACCTCCTAGATTGCTTATGCCCCGCTGTGTTGTCCCTCCAGCCAATACCGTGAGGACCAGGGCCTGCGAACGCGAGGCTGCTCTTGTTTGTCTTTAGGGGGCCTCACCCGCTTGCTCTTCCTGGTCGGGCGGCCTATACCCGACACCCGCAACAATGCCACCCTCACCCCTCTTCTCTTCCATCCTTACCCATAAGCTCTCGGTCGGCTCATCAGGCCTCCCCAGGCAGGGCGCCATGCAGTCCAGCTGTTCTCTTACCTAAAAGGGCCGCTCCCCCTCCTCATTTCCCCACCCTGTCCTTCCTAAAGAGTCACAGGAGCCATCCCACCACGCCTTCGTGATCCCAACGAGATCGTAGCCCTGCAACCGCACATGCATCTCCGGCTCCTCACGCTTATTCCCCATACTGCGTGCGATCGCGTACAGGCACTTCAGAGAGGCACCCCAGCATGTTGGCTCCCTAGAAAGGGCTTTGGGGACTTCTCCAAAACGCCGCCTCGTAGGCGCTTCTTTGCTTACATGCAAATGCTGGAGGTGACCTGCTGCCTGGAACCAGCCGTGTCTGCCACAGGGCAGACCCTGACCTCCTCTGGCAGAGGCGGCCACCCCTGGAGCACTGTGTCCGGTTCTGGTCACCGCAATTCAAACAAAGATGCAGACAGACTGGAGAGGGTCCCGAGGAGGGCCACAAAGATGATTAAAGGGCCAGACAACCTGCCCTGTGAGCAAAGAATGAAGGAGTTGGGTCTTTTTTCCCTTGAAGAGAAGGCTCGGGGGGGGGGGGGGGGACGGGACACGGACACGGGGACGACACAACACACCTCAGCAGAGTCTTCCACTACTTAAAGGGGAGGCTACAAAAAGAGGACAGAGGCACTCTCTTCTCAAGGAGCCACATAGAGACGACAGGTACAAGTCTGTGCCAGGAGAGAGGTTTCATCTCCATACAAGACAAACTTGGGGTTTGCGTTCGGGTTGTTTTGGTTTTTTTTTAATCAGTGAGAACCATCAACCACTGGAACAACGTCCCCAGGGATGCGGTAGACTCCCCAGCGCTGGGGGGGGGGGGGCTGTTTTAATAACCCTTTGCTCTCTCCAACGCTGCCTGTGAGGAGAGACATCAATTCCACCAGGCACCACAGGCTTCCAAAACTGACGGTAATCACCCAGTCCCTCTGAATGTACAAGCCATACCAGCTTCTTCAAAATTCCCCTGCCCCCGGAAGTAGGAACACCTCCTAAATACCTTAGGGAGTTTGCACAGACAGAACAATCGATGTTACCTAGCTCAATCGTTCAGTAAGCAAGCGCTGCATTGCACTCCGCTTCGCTGCACCCGTGCGGTGTCAAGGAAACATCCTATATCAGTTTCCATCGCCTCCCGGGAAAGCTTAAATCAAGGTCAAGTCCTCGGGTTGCTTACGTGCCAGCGTCACCAAACTTAACCTGATCACCGAAAAGAAAAAAAGAAAGATGAAGTTTGCCGTCTCCCTGTCATGTACTTTTGGTTTGGGTCTGGCGGGGACGGCGGCAACTTTCCCCGTAGCAGCCCTCATAGTGCTGCGCTTGGTAGTTGTAGCTAGAAGGGCTTTGATAACACAGCAGTGTTTTGGCTACTGCTGAGCAGTGCTCCCACAGCATGGAGGCTGTCTCTCCAACCACCCTTTCCCCCAGCATCCGGTAAGCCGGGGGTGGGCAAGACGTTGGGAGGGGACAGAGCCAGGACAGCTGACCCAAACTGACAAATTCCACAACTGTCCACTGTGCTATGGAAGCAGCAAAGCTGCCATTCAGGCCAATTGTTTTCTCCTACCATATATACCCCTCCTCACCAGAAAAGGGATATCAACGGGGCCTTACTACACAGCCATTCATCGAGTGCTCCAACAGGAATCGGATGCTCCCAGCACACTGCACCGTGATGAAACCGCCCTTGTACGGCCGGCCTGCCTCTAGCGTCGCATACAGTCTTCTCTAGAGGTTCAGCAGCAGCCTACACTGGCTGTATGCACACTTGCATCCCACTTCCCAAAAAGCTAAGAGATTGCACCCAACAAGACGCAGGAGACTGCTGTGCGGTTCCCCTGTCACGCTTCAAATGACTGGGCAAATCACTATCTATCTACGCAACACTGTTAACAGACCGAAACATTCCACATGCTTACGCTCCGGGGAGACACCGTTTTACCTTGCAGAACTATTTCCCCTCAGTAAGATGCACAAGACAGAGATGATATCCCCATGCTAAATCTTTATTGTGCAACTGCCGCTCAAAGCTTTTATTACCTTCCACAGACACGCCTCACGAGAAATTAGACACCAACAGTGGCTAGACTGACGGGCAACAGAAAAAAATCCATCCAGTGATGATTTGTACACGTGCAGCAACTCTTGGGGGACAAAAGCCTTAGCCAGGCGGCCAGCCCAACTGACGGCCACCCAGAATATGTAGGTGCACGTGATGGACAGACTGCCCACCCTCTGGCCCTTCACCCGCAACCGTCCGGAATCCATCAGGCGGGCCCAGGTGAGCAGCACGCTTCTTGCCAACAATCATTAAACGCCCGAGAAGCTGGAGAAGGAAGCACGAAACCATAAATAAAGTAAATAAAAAGCCACACACAAAGGGGGCGGCAAGGGAAGGGACGGGAGCAGAGAACCACCCAGAGAAACCAGATAGCCAATTCCTAGCAAGTCAACCGCTGCGCTTCAAAATTACTGCCTCTCCGCCCGCAGCCAACGTTTCCCAAGCAGAGCTACAAAGACCGACTATGCACGCTATAAGGGGGTGGGGGGTGAAGAGCTACTCAATTTTTGTCAAGCTAGACACTAACAGAGTACTAAACAACCACAGAAGCTAAGTTTGTCTCCGGGTTAAAGCCCCCATTCATATCTTCAGGCGACGTAAGCAATTCTAGCCGGAAATAAACTTTAGGCTGCCTTTTGCGTGGGTTTACAGAGCCTTTGAACTTGACGTTTATAGCTAAAAGTGAAGCATCCAGCACCTCTCAGCCAGCTTTGCCCTTCCTCACCCCTGACCTGCCAAAACCCCCAAGCCCTCTTCCCCATATCAGAAGTACTACCGCTCTTACTCTAAACCACGACAACAGGCAGCAGACTGCGCTCCACAACAACGCTGCATTTTGCACCAGAACTACATACCCAGGGATGAGCATTGCTTTAGCTCACTACTTTTAGTCAGAAAGCTCAACTCCATTACAAGCCAGAAAACCCAAGAGAGCCTACTGCTGGGCCCTATCAAGAGGGAAAGGGGGGGCGGGGAAAGAGGAACTAACTACAGGTACAGTTTAGCACACAGAAGGCTTCCACAGTACTTACAGATTCACCAGGATCTTCTGCTTCAGATAACCTGATCATTGCCTCCTTAGGCATGACTAGGAAAAGCGTCGGAGCTTGGGGTGAAAGCTCATGGAACACAAGGCGCTGGAGGAAGAGTAAGCAGTTAAAACGTAGTTGGCTCCAGAAAAAGGTAATAGCTGAAGCAAATCAAGACGCCCCCAAGAACTCGCACTGAAGCAGATTACCACATACCCCAAACACAAGCCGAAACGCTGAGTTCTCTTACGCGATATTAACGCTTTCTATACGCAAAACCCACCGTAGTTACAGAGCCCCCCTCCAGAACTGGGATTCGGCATCCAAGACGACGGGGGCAAGGAGACGGAACAGCACTTCAGATTAGCAACCTCCAGCAGGTTTGAATTCGGGATGGCCATTTCCTAAGCAGTTTGTCAATTTGAGAAGTGGTCCACACAGAGGCAGGAGACAAACGGCTTAACTGAATCAGCAAAGAATTTAGTGAAGCGCAAGATGAGCGGCCATACACTCTCCATGGTACAGGGAGCTCAACTACTAAACCAAAGCATAACCACAGGAAGCCTGCAAGTGCGTAGTACGAGCCTGTCCTCTGTACTGCGCATAAACCCTACCTTCAAAAGCAGAAGACATCCCGAACTGCTCATCATCAGCACCCCAATGACAAAATTCAACGGGATACTAACTGAAAGTTAACATCGTGTACGTGAGGGCTGCTTCTCCCCAACACCCCCCCCCCCCCCCCCCCCCCCAAACAACCTAAGCAGCTCACTCCGGCTCCTAGCAGGCTGTAGTGCGCCAGCATCCGTGAGCCTTGCAAGCCTGTTCTTATCACGGTCCCCCTTCACCACCAAAACAAGGTCTGAGAAGCTTTAGCAGCCTGGCCGGTTTCTAGATTTTTTTCTTCTTTTTGCAATAGAAAACTAAGAAACGCTGTCATTCTTTGCCATAAATAATCCAGTTTGGCTGTTCAGAAAGAAAGCCCAGCACGGCAGAGCCGTGAAATCTCTACAATGGTATTACCAGGCACATCAAGACTTCCGTGTCTCCAACGCAGAACTAACGCATTACGGTCACTGCTCAGACGTTTGCTGTTTACACACATACGTACACACATCACACACACCCCGGAAGCCCCGAGGAGGTTGGCTGCGCGCGCTTAATCTAAGGTTTCAAGGCTAACATCCTACACGAGGCAGGACCGCTCCCATCCCTCGGCAGCCAACTTTGCGCGACTTGCACCGCCAAAGGGATATCACGCGGCAAACGTCTGCGGCCTACGCCAAGCGCGTTCCCGTCAGAGGCCCTCCTCTACGCGCGCGCGCACACGGCACGGTGGGGCTGGGAACCGAGGCGAGCCGGACAGCACCAGCAACCCAGTACGCGCCGCGACAGCCGGGGACGGGGGCGGCGCACCGAAAAAGCGCGACGGTTTAGGGACGGTGCAGTAGAGAGCGCAACATCCCAGAGAGGCCCCGTCCGTCCCTCCAGCCACCCGCAGCAACGCCGCCACCCGCCCTGCCCCGCTCCAGGGCACCCACCGCGCAACGGGTCCTCGGCTCAGGGAGCCTGCGAGCGCGGGGGCAGCGGGAGTGGGAGCGGAGAAGGAAGAGGAACCGCGCACAGAGCAAAGCCGGGGCTACCCCCACCTCCTCATTCCCCTCGTCCTCGTAGATGACGCTGGCGGGGAAGCGTCTTGCCGATGAACTTTCCGAAGACAGTAGCGGCGCCACCGGGCCACGCGGCCCGCGCCCCGACAATCTCGATTGCCACCACAAAGCCCTTTGTCGCCCCCGCGCTTCCTCCGCTCGGCCAGGCCCTCCGCAGAGCCCATTGGACCGCCAAATCGCCGCCGGCCGATCCCGCGCTTCGATTGGCTGCCTCGCCTGCCGTTTTCGCTTGTCCCCGCCCCCTTGGCGGATCAGCCCTCGTCGACATGCTGCTTACAGGGGCTCAGGGAGTTTGCGCGCCCTTGGGGCGCCGAAGGAGAACACACCGGGCGAGGCCGCGCAGGGGTCTGCGCCGTGTAGTGCTGCGACCCTGTGGGCGGGAAACGAGGCCTCCGAAGAGGCTCCTGTAGCTAGAACTACTGGCTCCTCGTATTTATTACCGCATCGACTCCACCCCAAACGTGCCCGTGGCTTTTTGGTGCTGCTCCTTCCAGTCAAATGACTGCTTCTGCCGGGGCGGGCCTTAACTTTTAGGAACATTTCGCAGAACCAACAGAACTTGCTCTGAATTGCTCCCTGAAAGCCCCGCTTCAATTGCAGGCGCTTCTAAGATGCACGCCTCCCGGGAGAAAAGAAAGCACAAATAAAATACAAAGCGCGTGTTCAGCACTGGTGGCTCGAGGGCCGATCGAGAGAGGCTTTGTGCTGACCTGGGTAGGAGGCTTTTACAAAAAGAGGCAGCGCCCCCAAAGCTGCCCGAGGGTGCCCTGCATCCCTGGGGAATAGCGAGCAATTTGATTGGGTACTGCAGCTTCTATAACCCCTGCTTTCCTCTCTATCGGGCTAAGGATATCCTTAGCCGCCTTTGCGGCAAGGCCACGTTGTCGGCTCACGTTCAACTTGGTGTCCACCAGGACCGCCCCCCCCCTTTCCTGCAAAGCTGCTTTCCAGCCAGTCGGCTTCCAGCATATACCGGTGCGTGGGGCTGTTCCACCCCAGGTGCCGGACTCGTGCATGTTCAGGCTCCTCAGGCGGTCTCGAACCGGGTCGTTTCCCACGATGGGAGGGACTTTGTTCCCCCAGTCCCTGCCTTGAGGTTCAGGGACTTGAGGCACTTGGGAACAGTGATTGCCAGTGAAAACGGAGGGAAAAAAAATCGTTGAGTACCCCGCTCAGCCTTCTCCTCGGTGCTTGTCACTAGATCATCTCCTGTCTTACCTACTGGAGGGGGGTGGGTCCTTGCTTCCACCCTCTGCAGGCTTCCTTTTTGCGCTTGAGTTTGCCCAGGAGCTCCTCGCTCATCCACATGGGCCTCCCGGCATTTTGGCCAGACTTCCTGCTCCTTGGGATGGACCAACTCCTGAGCTTGGAGGAGGTGACCCTCCAATACGAACCAGCTTTCTTGGGCCCCTCTTCCCCCCAGGGCCTTATCCCATGGGACGCTTCCAAGCAGATGCCTGAAGAGGCCAGAGTCAGCTCTCCTCCAGTGCAGGGGTGCGAGCTTGCCTTTTCACCCTCCTCTCGAGAGCCTGAACTCCACCATCTCACGATCACTGCAGCCAAGGTTGCCTTTGCACCCCCAACAAGCCCCTCCTTGTTGGCCTGTAGGAGGTCCAGCAGAGCACCTCTCCTCGTTGGCCCCTCTATCGCTTGGGTGAGGAAGTTGTCGTCGACACGCTCCAGGAACCTCCTAGATTGCTTATGCCCCGCTGTGTTGTCCCTCCAGCCAATACCGTGAGGACCAGGGCCTGCGAACGCGAGGCTGCTCTTGTTTGTCTTTAGGGGGCCTCACCCGCTTGCTCTTCCTGGTCGGGCGGCCTATACCCGACACCCGCAACAATGCCACCCTCACCCCTCTTCTCTTCCATCCTTACCCATAAGCTCTCGGTCGGCTCATCAGGCCTCCCCAGGCAGGGCGCCATGCAGTCCAGCTGTTCTCTTACCTAAAAGGGCCGCTCCCCCTCCTCATTTCCCCACCCTGTCCTTCCTAAAGAGTCACAGGAGCCATCCCACCACGCCTTCGTGATCCCAACGAGATCGTAGCCCTGCAACCGCACATGCATCTCCGGCTCCTCACGCTTATTCCCCATACTGCGTGCGATCGCGTACAGGCACTTCAGAGAGGCACCCCAGCATGTTGGCTCCCTAGAAAGGGCTTTGGGGACTTCTCCAAAACGCCGCCTCGTAGGCGCTTCTTTGCTTACATGCAAATGCTGGAGGTGACCTGCTGCCTGGAACCAGCCGTGTCTGCCACAGGGCAGACCCTGACCTCCTCTGGCAGAGGCGGCCACCCCTGGAGCACTGTGTCCGGTTCTGGTCACCGCAATTCAAACAAAGATGCAGACAGACTGGAGAGGGTCCCGAGGAGGGCCACAAAGATGATTAAAGGGCCAGACAACCTGCCCTGTGAGCAAAGAATGAAGGAGTTGGGTCTTTTTTCCCTTGAAGAGAAGGCTCGGGGGGGGGGGGGGGGGGGGGGGGGGACGACGACACGGGGACGACACAACACACCTCAGCAGAGTCTTCCACTACTTAAAGGGGAGGCTACAAAAAAGAGGACAGAGGCACTCTCTTCTCAAGGAGCCACATAGAGACGACAGGTACAAGTCTGTGCCAGGAGAGAGGTTTCATCTCCATACAAGACAAACTTGGGGTTTGCGTTCGGGTTGTTTTGTTTTTTTTTTAATCAGTGAGAACCATCAACCACTGGAACAACGTCCCCAGGGATGCGGTAGACTCCCCAGCGCTGGGGGGGGGGGGCTGTTTTAATAACCCTTTGCTCTCTCCAACGCTGCCTGTGAGGAGAGACATCAATTCCACCAGGCACCACAGGCTTCCAAAACTGACGGTAATCACCCAGTCCCTCTGAATGTACAAGCCATACCAGCTTCTTCAAAATTCCCCTGCCCCCGGAAGTAGGAACACCTCCTAAATACCTTAGGGAGTTTGCACAGACAGAACAATCGATGTTACCTAGCTCAATCGTTCAGTAAGCAAGCGCTGCATTGCACTCCGCTTCGCTGCACCCGTGCGGTGTCAAGGAAACATCCTATATCAGTTTCCATCGCCTCCCGGGAAAGCTTAAATCAAGGTCAAGTCCTCGGGTTGCTTACGTGCCAGCGTCACCAAACTTAACCTGATCACCGAAAAGAAAAAAAGAAAGATGAAGTTTGCCGTCTCCCTGTCATGTACTTTTGGTTTGGGTCTGGCGGGGACGGCGGCAACTTTCCCCGTAGCAGCCCTCATAGTGCTGCGCTTGGTAGTTGTAGCTAGAAGGGCTTTGATAACACAGCAGTGTTTTGGCTACTGCTGAGCAGTGCTCCCACAGCATGGAGGCTGTCTCTCCAACCACCCTTTCCCCCAGCATCCGGTAAGCCGGGGGTGGGCAAGACGTTGGGAGGGGACAGAGCCAGGACAGCTGACCCAAACTGACAAATTCCACAACTGTCCACTGTGCTATGGAAGCAGCAAAGCTGCCATTCAGGCCAATTGTTTTCTCCTACCATATATACCCCTCCTCACCAGAAAAGGGATATCAACGGGGCCTTACTACACAGCCATTCATCGAGTGCTCCAACAGGAATCGGATGCTCCCAGCACACTGCACCGTGATGAAACCGCCCTTGTACGGCCGGCCTGCCTCTAGCGTCGCATACAGTCTTCTCTAGAGGTTCAGCAGCAGCCTACACTGGCTGTATGCACACTTGCATCCCACTTCCCAAAAAGCTAAGAGATTGCACCCAACAAGACGCAGGAGACTGCTGTGCGGTTCCCCTGTCACGCTTCAAATGACTGGGCAAATCACTATCTATCTACGCAACACTGTTAACAGACCGAAACATTCCACATGCTTACGCTCCGGGGAGACACCGTTTACCTTGCAGAACTATTTCCCCTCAGTAAGATGCACAAGACAGAGATGATATCCCCATGCTAAATCTTTATTGTGCAACTGCCGCTCAAAGCTTTTATTACCTTCCACAGACAGCCTCACGAGAAATTAGACACCAACAGTGGCTAGACTGACGGGCAACAGAAAAAATCCATCCAGTGATGATTTGTACACGTGCAGCAACTCTTGGGGGACAAAAGCCTTAGCCAGGCGGCCAGCCCAACTGACGGCCACCCAGAATATGTAGGTGCACGTGATGGACAGACTGCCCACCCTCTGGCCCTTCACCCGCAACCGTCCGGAATCCATCAGGCGGGCCCAGGTGAGCAGCACGCTTCTTGCCAACAATCATTAAACGCCCGAGAAGCTGGAGAAGGAAGCACGAAACCATAAATAAAGTAAATAAAAAGCCACACACAAAGGGGGCGGCAAGGGAAGGGACGGGAGCAGAGAACCACCCAGAGAAACCAGATAGCCAATTCCTAGCAAGTCAACCGCTGCGCTTCAAAATTACTGCCTCTCCGCCCGCAGCCAACGTTTCCCAAGCAGAGCTACAAAGACCGACTATGCACGCTATAAGGGGGTGGGGGGTGAAGAGCTACTCATTTTTGTCAAGCTAGACACTAACAGAGTACTAAACAACCACAGAAGCTAAGTTTGTCTCATTGTCTCCGGGTTAAAGCCCCCATTCATATCTTCAGGCGACGTAAGCAATTCTAGCCGGAAATAAACTTTAGGCTGCCTTTTGCGTGGGTTTACAGAGCCTTTGAACTTGACGTTTATAGCTAAAAGTGAAGCATCCAGCACCTCTCAGCCAGCTTTGCCCTTCCTCACCCTGACCTGCCAAACCCCCAAGCCCTCTTCCCCATATCAGAAGTACTACCGCTCTTACTCTAAACCACGACAATAGGCAGCAGACTGCGCTCCACAACAACGCTGCATTTTGCACCAGAACTACATACCCAGGGATGAGCATTGCTTTAGCTCACTACTTTTAGTCAGAAAGCTCCAACTCCATTACAAGCCAGAAAACCCAAGAGAGCCTACTGCTGGGCCCTATCAAGAGGGAAAGGGGGGGCGGGGAAAGAGGAACTAACTACAGGTACAGTTTAGCACACAGAAGGCTTCCACAGTACTTACAGATTCACCAGGATCTCTGCTTCAGATAACCTGATCATTGCCTCCTTAGGCATGACTAGGAAAAGCGTCGGAGCTTGGGGTGAAAGCTCATGGAACACAAGGCGCTGGAGGAAGAGTAAGCAGTTAAAACGTAGTTGGCTCCAGAAAAAGGTAATAGCTGAAGCAAATCAAGAACGCCCCAAGAACTCGCACTGAAGCAGATTACCACATACCCAAACACAAGCCGAAACGCTGAGTTCTCTTACGCGATATTAACGCTTTCTATACGCAAAACCCACCGTAGTTACAGAGCCCCCCTCCAGAACTGGGATTCGGCATCCAAGACGACGGGGGCAAGGAGACGGGACAGCACTTCAGATTAGCAACCTCCAGCAGGTTTGAATTCGGGATGGCCATTTCCCTAAGCAGTTTGTCAATTGAGAAGTGGTCCACACAGAGGCAGGAGACAAACGGCTTAACTGAATCAGCAAAGAATTTAGTGAAGCGCAAGATGAGCGGCCATACACTCTCCATGGTACAGGGAGCTCAACTACTAAACAAAGCATAACCACAGGAAGCCTGCAAGTGCGTAGTACGAGCCTGTCCTCTGTACTGCGCATAAACCCTACCTTCAAAAGCAGAAGACATCCCGAACTGCTCATCATCAGCACCCCAATGACAAAATTCAACGGGATACTAACTGAAAGTTAACATCGTGTACGTGAGGGCTGCTTCTCCCCAACACCCCCCC